CTTCTGCATGCAGAATAATCGTGTTCAGGAGAGGAACTTTTAGCCCCAAAAAATGCTAAATGATGCAAACATGCATGTAAATGCGGCAAAACGCTAACCGTGTTTAGCGCTTGGGCATTTATCCATGTTAATGGAAAATACTCTGGCCAATCAAATGAATAATTGTCCAAGCGTTAAACGTGGTACCACGTTTACATGCGTTTTTGCCGCGTTTAGCGTTTTTCTGCTGCCAGAACAGTGTAACGACTAGGTGAGTTCATGTGTACATGAGGCCTAATGAATCCGCTACTGCAGAAAGAGAACTGCTGTACCCTTAGAATGGCTATTTTCAACTAGGGTTCCATTGAATCCCTGCTCCTTTACAGATTGCTAAGGGTTCCTTGGGCTGTGGGCTGATTGACCTCCCATTAGATGATGCGTGCTTAGTTCCAGGGTTGACACCACTTGGCAGACTCAGCGGCATGACACCAATTCTATTTTATTGTCTGTACTGGTGGCATTGTGATCACTACTGTAAGTGGGGCATTTTACATACTGACCCCCAAAGAAATGGTTTTAGCACGGGTTTCCCAAGACCTGAAAATGTTTTCAAGTGTTTTTCTGGGGTAAAACAGCTGAGAAAGGCTGCCGTAGGTGATCTGTAAGGGCATTTTCATATTGGTTTGCTTTTGCTGCACTAAAATGCACCTTTCCAGTGCGACAAAAGCACATGAAAATGATTCCCATTTACCATAAATCTTATGTAACTGTTCACGTCAGTGTGCTACGTTTTAGAAAGTCCTGCATGCAGCATCTTTGGTGTACTTTTCAAAATCACACCAAAAACGCACCTTACACCACCAGAGTGGAAGCAGCCTAAAGGATTTCAGTCTAGTAAACGTGTCAAACAACTGAATGTTATCTCTGTACACTGTATCAATTCTGTATAGCAGTTCAGACCCTGTTCACATCTGAGCAATGTTCCGCGTTGATTTTTTTTTCTGTTTCACTATTTTTATTGTTTTAAAAGTAGAACATAGAAATAGGTGTACAGCAGTGGGCCCATAGATCCTCACTGGCCACACAGTATAAACTCGCATCGCAGGCCCACGCTGCATTTTTTGCACATTTTTGTAGCAGCCCATTCATTTGAATAAGCCTCCTTGACTCCAAAAATGCATCAAACACGCTAATGTTCCAAATGTTAGAAGTGAGCCAAGCAGGTTTTGCGTAGTGAGTTTTTGCGTGTTTTTCAAGTATTCATGCAACTGATACCAGCATTTGGGGTGTTTTTAATAATGGCCCCACAAGCAAGTCACGTATTTTAGTGCATTTTTCCCAATGTTTCCACTGCACCCAGATGTGAACTGGGCTTGCACTCTGCGGTAGTTTATTCATTACACCTAAAATGATACTAAACATTATCCTATTCTGCAAAAAGAATCCATACACTTCCACTATGTAATGGATCTATAATCGATTTTTATAAAATCATTTCCTATTTTTCTGCCTCCTGTGGCCTCTCCTTTTCCCCTTTCCATTTAGGCTCGTTCACACTTGACTTTATTTCTAACTCTTGCCAAACGCCGTTTATAGCGTTTGACAGGCGTTAGACAGGCGTTTGGGAAGCATTTTTAATGCTCTTCAAATGCTCCCAAAATGTCCTAGGCACGGTTTTCAGACGGTTGAAAGGCATTAGTCAAGCGTTAAAACCACACCACAAACTCCTATAATGAAGTTAAATTATATTAACGCTCCGCAACCACGTCGCAGGCATTTGCAGAGCGGCACCATAGACTTGAATTGGAGGCTTCAACTCCTCCTGACTCGACACAAGGCAACAGTTTTGCCGCAACGCGGAGGGACGCTAATGCTTCCGTGTGAACAGCACTGTGTGCTGCCATGTGCAGAATTTTGATAGGCGTTTGAGAAGCGTTAAAAACACTTCCCAAATGCCTGTCTGACGCCTGCTGACAAAGCTAGTGTGAACATAGCCTTTGTTTGGAACAAGCAGTGCACATTAGTTGCGGTCATATAAACTGCTCTCTGCACACTACAAATCCCACAGTCCATAGCTCATAGTCATAGTCCACCTTGAGAGCAAAAAAGAAAGGGTGGCTACCTTCCTACATACAGTGGGACCATGGAAAACTAAGGTAGCCACCATCAAACAAGCAGTCAGATCACAGAAGCAAAAAAAAAGGAGTTTGGAGATTCTGAATAGACCGAGTGCAAAAGTTCAAATTTCAAATTTTTTGAGTTAAGAATACATACCTGAATAGAACTTACTTTTTTTTTTGTAAATCAGAGTTTATGTCACTTTAAATATTTATTTACCATGAGTGTCAGCTCTATCTAGTGGTCACAATGCTGTGATTTTCTGATTCACCCTATGCTTATAATAGCCTAATAACATTCATTTTTGTTCTTAGCACAAAACTAATGTGCATGCAATTAAACAATGAATAGCTGTGCCATTTTGTTTCTTTAATAAACACCCCCCTTAGTTTACAGAGCATGAGGTCTCCCCCTCATATGACTTCCTCTTCTGACCACATTTTCTTAGCCTATAGTGTTAGGCTATTTTCTCTATTGGTTGAATGTTCTTCAAATCTTCTGGCCAAATGTTCTTAAAGTGTTAGTAAACCCAGGACCCTGCATCCACTATATCTGGTCTTCCACAGTACGCAGAACATGGAAATGCAATTATTTTAGTAATTATAAACTGCTAAATACCTTTTCTCATTAGAAGTTAGAGCAGTCTTGTGGATTCTATCAGTTTTCAGCTGAGCACTGGCTAAAGCTTGTAGGAGGAGTTTTCTTTCTGCTCTAGGAGGATGCAAAATGCCTGACCTCTGTCTGGGCAGTGCTAAATGTCCCTGTGCTGCTCACATGTACTCTCCCAAGAAAAAAAAAAAACCTCTCTAGCAATACACACCAAACAGAGCATGTACAAAATGCCTACGGTTCAGTCTGTCTTATCAGGAGATAAGAGGTGGTTGCTTAAACAAGGGGAGGAACAGAGCAATCAGGATCAAACAGCTTTTTTACACAATGCAGAGGATTAACCTCTTAGGCTCCACAGTGAGCATAACAAGCATGCTTTACCGCATATACAGACTGATTTGTGGGTTTAGTAACACTTTAAGGTTATTTTCTCATAGCATTAAATGTTAGGGAATGCTAATCCCCTGCAAAAGGCAACAACTAGAAATTGACATTTCACACATATTACAGACATTACAGGTATTTTGTGTCAGTGCAGCCACTGTGGCCTATACACTGACATGGGCTGCCTGGATGCAGAACCTGGTGGGTCAGGCTGCATAAACACATTTTGCATTCACAGATTACTGGCATTAGAGCCTCTGCCAACAAAGTCTTAAAGTCCGGTAAAGAGTGATAAATGTTGTTGGATGGTACCTGTAGGGAAGGGATTATATACTGAGCCAGATTCTATTCCTCTTTTTTGTTTCATTTATGACAATCAGATGCTTACGTTTATTTATCATCCTGCACTAAAAAAATAACTGGAACCTGGTTGGATATTATACACATACATTTTTCTTTTAATTGGATTTTATGTAAGGATCCTGGCCATGCAGGGTGACAAGGATGTGTAAATCACAAAAGAATGCTGAGTCAATATTATTTTGGCAGGTAAAACAATTCGAATGGATGGATTGAAACTGCGTATTTAGCTTTTGGCTGCAGTTCAGTTTAACATAGTAATAAGATAACTGACAGAGTTAATATTGATGTCACTTTAACCAATTCAAGTCCGGACACTTTTACCCCCTTCCTGTCCAGGCCAATTTTCAGCTTTCAGCGCTATCACACTTTGAATGACAATTGAATTTTTGAATGAATTTTTTAGCATTTTGAGACAGATAAAGCTTTATTTTGGTGGTATTCATTCAGCACTGGGATTTTTTTCCCAAAAATTTTGAAATAAAGCGTTTGTCTTATAAAAGTTTGCACGTAAATAAGATTTCATCATAACTCTTGGCCAAAATGTATTCAGTTGTCTTCTTAGTAAAAAAAAAAAAAAAATAACCCAAATTAGTTTATAACCAAAAATTATAAATGTTTTTTTTTACATTTTTATTTTATTGTTTTAATATTATTATTTATGTTTTTTTTTTACATACTGCCACCCTAGCAGTACAGTGTCACCATGGTCACACTGTACTACTTGTGGGGGCTGATGAAGATTTTTTTTTTTTTTTACACTGATTGCTTTTACACCCATAAAGGCTGTAAAAGCAATCATTCCTCCTTCTCTCTGGCTGGATCCTTGCAGCCATTGAGAAATACTGTGTGAGCTGTGATTGGTCACAGCTTGTCCCATGGTACAAGGCTGTTGTGAATAGTCTTGTACCATGTGACCTCTGTAATCATTCACAGATTTCACACGTAGTAAGCAATGATGTCAGAAGTGACATCTTGCTTACTACTATTCATGTGATCACTGATTGGCCAATCAGTGATCACATGATCGGGACCTCGCTCAGAGGTCCCGTACGACGATCGGTGTTCCACTGTGTCCGGAGGATTGCGGTGCTGCGTGCTCCCAGGCAGCGCGTACAAGCAGGGAGGCTGTTTATAAACGGCCACCCGCCCCTGCACTGCCACCGTTCAGCCGTTTATATACAACGGCCGGACAGGAGGTAGTTAAAGAATCAGGATGCTTTTCCACAATGGGGAGCCAAGATACAATTTTATCTAGGAATGAAGTGCCCGGTTTTGAGTCTGGGATGTGACACCCTAGAAGATTTTTTTTGTCTTTCACCACATCAATATCAGATACAGTATATTTTTCACACAGAAAAGCAATAAAAGCTGGTCCAGGCCTATGTAATTATGAGCAAGAGGGCATAAGGACATCATATAAAATGTCTGCACTTTTCTTTCTAAAGATACAATAGGCCACGTTAGGTGGCCACCATAAAACACAACTAGTGCTTAGAGGTGTGCTCTTAATGAAACAGCAACATTAAATACTTTGTGTTGGTACATACCAAGGGCAGTGATGATCCATCTTCAATATGCACCTAAAATAGTGAAAAAACATGTAAAATACCTCCTTGTTGTCATTTCTCTTGACATATGAGAGCAATGGTTTAGATCAGCCATTCTCAACCAGGGTTCTATGGAATCCTAGGTTTCCTCCAGAGTTTGCTAGGGGTTCTTTGAGCTATGGCTGTCTGACTTCCCGTTTGATAGTGCCAAAATCACTTGGCAGAGTCAGAGGCATGACCTCAATGATCCTTTTAGCTAACTGGAAGGGTGACATTCTGACTACCACTGTAAGGGGGTATTCCTCCCTCTGACGACCAAAGTAATAGACATTTTTCCACTGACATCCCAAAGAACTAGTTTTAGCAGGGGTTCCCCAGGACCTGAAAATTATTTCAAGGGTTCTTCAGGGGTAAAAATGTTGAGAATGGCTGGTGCTGATTAATAAAAATCTTAATTCAATAATATGTGCAGTAGACATGGTTACTGTTTTTTTAATTAAGCAAAACTCGGCCAAAAACCAGGGTGGAAGAAGACAGTATGTGGTAGCTGGCATTACCACAGCCTATGTGATGACATAGCCAACAGGCAGAGCAGAAAGCTGTAGTTCTCAGACCAGGAGCAATTAAAGATATGTTTTTCTGCTAGCTAGCAGCTGTCCCAGTTCTCATGTAGCAGGTAATTACTGGTATAAAATCTTAAAGAAATTGAAACATTTTGTATTTGTTATCAAGAAGTCAAGTGTGGGGGGGGTGAATGGCAATATCCCATTAATGGAAAAATCACATATACCCCTACACAGTACACGGTCAGCCAATATTCGTGTACTCCCTATACAGACGACATAATCAGTTCTTTTAGAAAATAAGTTATATTTGTGTAATGCACTGCCATCGTGTATTTCTCTGCTTTTATCCCTGAGTACCACTCCAATATTTCTGTCTCTCATAAACAGTCATCTGGGTCATATGAAGCATCCTTCAGCTTGTGTCAGGTATAGACTTCCTCTCATACACAACCCAATTATTGGCCGGGGCTAATTAAAGTACTCTGGCTTCTATTCAATTCAAGATAATCAACATCAGCGTAGACCAGCGCTGTCAATATGCCTACCAGCTGAAACAAGAACATCATTTAGACACTGACAGCACTGAGAGCTCTGCCACCGTCTCCTCAGCTTCTAATCTTGTACAAATGATCACAGGGAATCGGGTTCATACTTATCACAAACAGAGCAGTGATGACAGCGGTCAGGCTTCACAAGCTGGCATCTGTCACAGTATCTGATGGCTGCAGAGAAAAGAGTTGGGAGTTAATGTTCATTTTGGCAGTAAATTCAGTCGAAAGATCTCAAAGTTTAAAGGAGATGCCACCATTGTCTAGGTTCTCATTATATTCTTTGTCTTTGTTCTGCAATACTGTTACCAATGTTTTATTTAAGGAGGCTCTTCAGTAACAAGGATGAGAGCTTTGGATTTACAGCATATTATGACTTGGCTTCTACAAACTAACTGTTTCTTAAAGTCACCAAATGTGAGTTGGCAGTCGGGGGTGTAGTCGGGGGTGCTGGGGCAGTAAAAATAGGAAACTGGGCTGCAAAGGTAGGCAGATGTGGGTGCACACATGCCTTGGCCACAATGTAAAGAATTGTGGTGGTGTGCAACAATAATTATCCCTCCCTGGCAAACAGTACCACCAGTGCGTGTGACCCATGCAAGTGAAGGTGGCCACGACGCAACCACAAGCCAATTGCTCATGGTTGTGCCACAGTATTCCCACTGCAAGAGGCTGTTTGGTTGTAAAAATAAAAAAAAAAATATATAAAAAAACAGGCATTCAGGAAGCAGCAGCGTCACCATTTTAATGCGTGCCAGCCACACCTGCAACACTCTGTGGAAAGTGATCCACCACATAACATTTTTCTTAAACTGATGCAGGTGTAAATGAGCCCTAAAAGAGAAGTCCATTTTTTTTTTTTACTATAACTCATCATGTTACACCTATATTTCAGATGTAACTAGAGATGTACAATTTCCAGAAATTTTGATGCCATGGAAAAAAAAAACATTTTTCCTCCTTATTTTTTCCGGAAAAAATTTAACCTCCCTGGCGGTATGATTATTTCAGATTTTTGGTGCTGAAAGCAGTACCATTATTTTGCATGGAAATATGTAGTTTTTTTATTGTAGGCCTGTAATTTTTAGGAATAACTCACTGAAATCTGTCCGAACAAGAGTCTATTAAACATCCCGGGTATGATAAAATTTGACACACGAAATCATAAATTATAATTTAATAAATAATCCTACAAAATAATAATATAATAATAATACATTTAATTCAATAATATAATCAAACCAAACACACTGAAATTTGAAATAGAGCACCAAGTTCGCACATTGCTGAGCAAAGTCGCAAAATCGTTTTCAGTGTCTGATGACAAATTTCCCCACGAATCATTATCACTCAATTCTGCAAGTGGTTCTGATTTACTATCGCTGTTCTCTAGCTGATCTAAACCCGCTTTTGACCTAAAGGGACACTTTTTGGACGCCATGGACGTTTCTCAGTTTCCAGGCAGAAAGAACAGACAAAATGCAGGCAGGGCACAGGACAAAGCACTAGGGACAAAATGTATGTGAAATGGGTTGAAACAGCAATGTTTTACAATGTAAAATTTGTTTGGAAAAAAATGAAATTTTTTTAAATGTTCAAATTTCCCGCTACCGGCAGCGCCCGTACGTCCCGACTTCACAGGGACCGGAACACAGAAGCCAGATGCCGGCATCGGCAGGAGGAGATGGCCGGGGACGCTGCGGGGGACGCATCGCGGGAGCTCAGGACAAGGTAAGCTCTGCAGGGAATCCCTATGCAGCGCAGCATGTTAAGTCCGAGTGTAGCTCGGGGTTACCGCTTTTGGTACTGACATTTTACCCCGAGCTACACTCAGGAATACCGCTAGGGAGGTTAAATATTCAGAAAAAAAATTCAGTGTGAAGCAGTTTTACAAATTCAAAGTTGTTGTGTTACACTACAGTGTATATAAAAGTATTATGCTTGAAATAAAAGTACAGCCTATTCAGTACATAAACTAAAGTTGCTTTTTAAAATTGTATTTTTAATTACAAATGGAATGATAAGGATTATATATGTTAAGAACATTTCAACTATACATGAGAACAGGTAACCACCACCCATCCTCTTGTAACAATTTTAAAGCTTCCTGCCAGTATGCATTTTCACTTATTGACAATGCTGATCAAGAAGCATAGATTGCTCTTGCAAGAGCTTGATCAATGTTCTCCTAATTTTCGAGTGTCATTTTATCAATAAATGAAGAGATTGTGTATTTTTGGGAGGCCATGGTTTGCAACACTTCCTCATTTGAAGATGATGCTGGTGAGGAAACAATTTCTGATGATCCAGAGCAGTAGAAAGTGTTTCTGGAATGAGTACTCTGAAGGGAAGTGCTACTGTCTTTAGGGCACCTCTGGCATGCAGGGATGTGTTTGGTCATCCTTGTAGCATTTGGAAAAGAATATTTCTTCTCACAATATTTGTAAATTGCAGCTTTGCTCTCAGAAATTGCACTGTTGAAATATTTGCAACTGTTGGGCTCACCATTTTACTGAGAGGTGGAAAAGAAAAAACAATTCACTGACCAGACTATAGGTAGGCATTATGCTGGGATGGTGGAGAACATAAATAAGAATCATTTAAAGGGTATAAAGATAAACAAATTTGTCAGACAAATTTACTGTATTACCTGTCAATTAAGGTCTGAGAGGACAGAAACTATCATCTACTGTATCCCAACAATCACCCAACTGAAGGAGGTGAATATGGAGCCCACAAGCAAACTAAACTGGAGCCTTTCCCCTGCAGGGCCTCCTAGTTGCAGACTTCTCTTGTTTGAGAACTGCATTGAGAAGTACTGTACAGTGTTACTTGAATTGTATTCCAGGATTTGCTTCAGCAGAGAGAACTTGCAATAATTTAAGACTTTACATATTCTCAGAAATATTTCATTAAGGTTCATGTTATATAGTTTGTACACCATGTCATAGATACATTATTGATAATGTTAAAAGAAAATTTTCCCACTTCTTCCACAAATTTTTTCAAAAAAAAAATGCCTTGAAAAAAAGCGGAAAAAAAGTGTTTTTATCCCCCAGTTTTTCTGTTTTTTTTTCCCAGGCCTTCCCATCTCTAGGTGAAACATGGTCGCACTCTGCAGCCCTCCAACCCTAAAGAGACTCATAGTTCTCAATAGAACATAATTGTGGTGACACCATTAACACTTATATTCTGTTGATACTTCCCCCAGCCCTGTATATGAAGGTCCAAATTGCAGCTTAAGATATAATCTGCTGGGGCCAGAGCAGTGAATCAATAATCCAATGAATGTGGTTACAATGCTTTGTAGGTCTAATGCAAAAAGAAAAAAAAAAATGCATGCCTTTTTTTTTTTAATCGGTATGGGTGGTACTATATTTTTTAGAAAAGGTGGGCTTTGCCTTTAAAGCTGCATGTTCCCTTAATAAAAGGGATCATGTACATGGACTTACATATTTTTCCTGCATTTATTCATGCATTTAAAATTTGTGCAGTGTGGATGACATTTCTGTGGCTGTGTTTGACCTGTTTTGCATTATGTTTCGCATGTCCTACTACAATAGGCACTGAAGGCATATCAGGCCAAGCGCAGCCTTTTCAGCATTACATAAACACTGAGTCATTGAAAGTCTTTTTTATATTATGAAGTGTAATTCTGTCTCACAAAAGTATTATTTTATCACCGCATCCAATGGTCTGTTTTCTTGCTTCTGCCTAAATGGGTACCTCACTGAAACACACAGAAAATGCCAGCCTGAAACTGTAACATACTTACACACCCAGTAAATCCTGCGCTGTCCTTCTGTGATCCACCGAAAGCCAATGCACCTTGGATCCCGCACCGCAATCTTCTTTGTACTGTCCACTTGTATGGCAGGCTGCACATGGCATGGCAAGACAGGGTCTCTTTAGGAACCTAGATCATAGTGGGCCTCAGTGACACCTTGTAATCAAGACAGAGTTTATATTCTATTTATTACAATACCATATGTTATAATTCTACATGTGTTCAATTCCTTGAAATCATTGATACCTGTATCGCTGTTGGCCTATAGATATATTGCAAGTGGTAAAATCAATAGCAATGATGTATATATATATGCAATGTTTATCGTTTTTCTATCCATGGCAGAATTACAAGCTGAAGATGCAATATATCAAATATTGTTTGTATCCTAATCCATTCTTGAATGTAGATTGCTAAATCATCACTTTCGAGAATTTATCACTATCAGTGTCCATCATACACTGAAATATATTGGCTGATTGTAACAAAGTATATATAATATATAATATATAATTTTGTATGTACTGTTTTTTTTTTTTTTGCTGTTTTTGTATTGGAGATTGTGGGGGTTTTAGGGGTTAGGGTGGAATTCTCATTTTCTATATTATGGCTATTTACACTAAGACACTAATATACTGGCTAATTATATTATTATTTTACAGGATTTATATAGCGTCACCAGTTTGCTCAGCGCTTTACAATATAACGGGAGACAATACAGCAACAATACAGTTCAATACAAGAGAAATTTGAGGGCCCTGCTCCTTGGAGCTTACAATCTAGAAGGGAGGGGCTAGTGGTACAAAAGGTAGTAACTGTGGGGGATGGACTGCTTGGAAGAGTAGAAGATTCCAGTATTATCCGAGGGCAGGATAGGCTTCCCTGAAGAGATAGGTTTTCAGAGATCGCCTAAAAGTGAGCAGAGTAGGCAATAGTCTGATACCTTGGGGTAGAGAGTTCCAGAGGATGGAGGAAGCTCTGGAGAAGTCCTGGAGACAAGCATGGGGGAGGAGGAGAAAAGGGAGCTAGAGAGTAGGAGGTCTTGCGAGGAGCGGAGAGCAGGGGCGTATTTGCCGCGAGGCAAACTAGGCATTTGCCTAGGGCGGCATTTTTCAGGGGGGCACCGGCACCGCCCCCCTTGTCAGCAGTGATCAGAGAGCAGAGCCATTATCTAGGCTTGCATGTCTCCACCACCTGCATGGGAATGGAACTGATCCGTGATAGCCTGCTGGAGGACGGGGGGAGAAGGTGTCCAGTGTCCTACTCCCGAGACCGAATCACTTGCAGATGACGTGCCGCGATGTGTGAGCTGCTTAGCCCAGCTAGACTCGCTCTGCCCGTTTGACATTAGCATTAGCTAACCCCTCCCCTCCTCTCTTTAATCCGGCCACACCCCCAGGAATTGGGATCACTGAGCAGCCGGATCTGCAGGGCACACACTAGTCGGAAGAGAGGAGGAGCCTCCGCTGATCTGTGAGTGCTGCCTTACATAGACTCTGTCCATTGTCTGTATGGGGATTCGAGGAGAATGGAGCAGAGGGACGGGTGCTGCCTGTGGAGGAGAGAGGGAGCCCTGCCAGAAGAGGGAGATGATGTTGGCTGGAGGTGGTGCTACTGGGGATCTGCAGGATGGAATTGGAAGAGCACAGAAATGAGTAGCTGAGCATATGCAGTCAGCTCGCTTGCCCTCTCACAGAATGTTGAGTTGTGAGAGAGAGTAGACTATGTGTACTGGGTAGGGAACAAGGCCAAGTGCAATTTATTTATTTTGGGGGGGGGGGGGGGCACGGCAACAGCTCAGGTGGGTGGTAGGTGCTGGCTCGGTGGTGGTGGTGGGGGGGGGAACAAAAAAACTGGACGCCCCGTCCAGTTTTTTTGTTGCCTAGGGCAGCAAAAAACCTAAATACACCACTGGCAGAGAGCACAGTTTGGGTGATATTTAGAGACAAGATCGGTGATGTAATTTGGAGCAGAGTTATAAATGGCTTTATATGTTATTGCTAGTGTTTTGAATTTTATCCGTTGGGCAATTGGAAGCCAGTGGAGGGATTGGCAGAGAGGGGTGGCAGATAGAGAACGGTTAGTAAGGTGGATGAGTCTGGCAGCAGCATTCATGATAGACTGAAGAGGGGATAGCCTGCGATGAGGTAGGCCAATGAGGAGGGAGTTACAATAGTCAAGGCAAGATATAACAAGGGAGTGGATAAGTTGCTTAGTGGTTTCCGAGGTTAGGAACGGGTGTATCTTGGAGATGTTGCACAGGTGAAGTCTACAAGATTTGGAAAGTGATTGGATTTGGGGCTGAGAGGACAGATGAGAGTCTAGGATTACACCTAGTACCCTGGCATGAGGGGAGGGACTGATGGTTGTATTGTTGATCTTGATGGAGAAGTCAGAGGAGGGGGCAGGGGCTGGGGGGAATACTAAGAGCTCAGTTTTGGAAAGATTTAGTTTGAGGAAGGGGCGTGACATCCATGCCGATATGTCACTTAGTAGGTTAGTGATGCGAGAGGAGACTGAAGGGGTGCGGTGAGGGGTAGAAAGATAGATTTGTGTGTCATCAGCATAGAGATGGTACTTAAAGCCATGGGAGTTTATCAAGTGACCAAGGGAGGAGGTGTAGATGAACAAGAGAAGGGGTCCAAGGACAGAACCTTGAGGGACCTCTACAGAAAGAGGGAGTGAAAAAGAGAAGGCAGCATTATAGGTAACACTGAAGGAGCGCTGCGATAGGTAGGAGGAGAACCAGGAGAAAGCAGAGTCTCTGAGGCCAAGAGAGTGGAGTTTTGAGGAGGAGGGGATGGTCAACCGTATCAAAAGCTGTTTACACACAGAGGTGCTTTTTATATGGGTGGTCATACATAATTTTGGCTATTCAGGGGTGTCAAACTGGCGGTCCTTCAGCTGGTGCGAAACTACAAGTCCCATTATGACTCTGCCTTTGGGAGTCATGCTTGTAACTGTCAATCTTGCAATGCCTCATGGGACTTGTAGTTTGGCAACAGCTGGAGGGCCACCAGTTTGACACTGGCGTGTGGACTGGCTGCTACGTAAGTTTTTATTTAAATATGCTACATGTTCCTATGGTATAATTAAATATACTACACTATGGGAGGATTCCTTTGTCTTATTCTGAGAGATTGATATTACAACCTTTCCTGGAGAAGAGCCATAGTGGGAATATTATATCCTGAAAGCTGTCTTGGAGTGCTTTGGTACCTGGAGGATCTGTGAGAGGGATCCACTACTGCTCTTTGATCCGCAAGGGTCGAAGGGATGAGGTGAGAGGCTAATCCAGAAGGTGGTTGGATTCGTAGATCTATATACACCCAGAAACCTACACGAGTTTTCACCTGTGGTCACTAACAGTATAATTTGGAAGCACTGTTTTTTTCACCAACAATATTTTATATTTTTTGGACTTTGAGATATTAGTTTGTGTCACCATTATTATGGTTATTTTTTCACTTCACAATAGGCACGTGTGATTTAATTATATGTATGTGTATTTTTGGTTCATGCACATACATATAGATATGGTTTTTTGTGTTTTTTTGTGTTTTTACATTTTTTGAGTGATTTATTTGATTGTTGTTATTATCAGCAAGCACGCATAGATTTGCATTGTTAATATTGTTAACATTGTCACATTTTTTGATTTGATATTTTGGGATCCCACATTCACAATTTGGTTGATTTGAATGTAGCGCAGCATTCCTTATGTTTTATATTTACTTGATCACTGGTATATGATTTAATGCTAGCAGCTCCCTTTGGGATTTATACACATATTTATTTGATTTACTTGGAGCGCAGGAGGGTCACACCACTATTGCTACAAGTTTGACACTTGTGCCTTAGTTGGTAATTTGACCCCATTAGCATGCCCCTTTGAGTGTTACAGATCTTATTCTTAGTTATTGACAATATGCCATAGTCTTCAACAAAATTATAACAATTTTCCCTACTGTTAGCCTTTGGCTATGGCTGACTCCCTTGGCATATATTACTGGCAGCTTGCTAGTTAGCAAATATGTAAGTACAAAATTTACACAGACTATACCCTCAATAACGTCTAATGTCTCTGCAGCAAAATCTCACAAGGCTCATCAAAGGGTTCTGATTTCATTTGTGCTAGTTAACGTTCATTTATTTGGCCCAGCTGTTCAGTTAATGGATCTAACAGTGTTATACTCCCCTATACTGTCATACTTTTCTCTTCAAAAACGTAACATTGAATTGAAATAACCTCTTGTATGAAGAATGCCTGAAGTGATTTAATATTTTGAAATGGAGATTAAGAGACGCTGCTGTGAAGAAAGTAATATATAATATATACCCCCTGACATTGTCCTGGTGTAGACGGGAAGGTCCTTGGCTAGTCTTCTGAGAACATCTTGCTGGGATTCTCCTCTGGGTTCTCGTTCTATAAGCTCTTTGTCAGCATATGACAGATGAAACTAAAATACAGCATATAAAAATGTCTGTAAAATATGGACACGCACATTTTTTTAAAAAAATGACTGCACTTTTACTATAAATTATAATGTACACTTGTCCCTGTGGTCTCTGAAAAATGCCAATGGGTAAGATACCTTTACAGACAAAAGTGCTGTTTCATGCAGCTTGGCCTGCAGTCTCCCAGAGCTGATTACACTGAGCACTGCTGTGACCACGCAACTCTGGGCCACCATTGTGTGGCAAAGACACGAGACCTGCTTTATACTGGCCTGAATAGGCAGCCCCTCTCTATGGATGTTATTACAGCAATGGGAGGCTGCAGACCTGCCTGCTTGAAAATGGAAACCCATTGTACTGCCATTATTTCAGAGGCTGCATATTTCATAGTGAAAGTGCTCTTACATTTAAACACAGCTATTCAAATTACAGATAAAGTTTACAGATAAAACCTTTTCCTTTCCTCTTCTTTTGAAAGCTGTAATGAAATTATCAAGAGTCCTCCCATTTCAGATTCCCTTATATTTATTCTATACTATAATTGCCTACTGACACATACATAGTTACATAGTTAGTCTGGCTGAAAAAAAAAGTCCACCCAGTTTAACCATTAAAAAAAAAAAAAGTTATCATCCTACACCCACAGTTGATCCAGAGCAAGACATACAGCAGGCCCAACATCAACAAAGGCATCCCAGAATCCCTAGCTTTTGAATCTAGCTATGAATTATTGTCAGGGCTCAACTGGGAAATTGTACAGCTAAAGTGATGGCAGGAATGCTTTATTTTTGTTCTTTTCCCAAAAACCATTTCCTTTTCCACATTGTCCTAGCACCTAATTAAAAGTGGATGCAGTAAAAAAAATACATTATTTTATGGATTCTGCCATTAATAGCATTGAGACAATGAAACATTTTTTTTTTTCACAAAAGTACCCTTTATTGTACTGTACGTGGTTTACAAAAACTGCTGTAATTCCTCTAGTTATACTGTTGAAAGAATATCAATATTATAAAATCACTAAACTTAAATTCAAGTAGCTTTGAAAAATAAGACTTCGAGAATACAAATTAACATTTCTTTTTTGATAACAGTTGGAAAAAATGTAACATTACTTTAACATTATCTGTGCAAGCAAATCCAAATGACATCTGCATCTAGTTCGGGCAAGGGGAGGCTTACAAGAAAATTGACAGCAAATTTCTTTTGATGGGATACCTAGACAGGAAGAAACTATGTAGGTCAAAGGCATTTGATATTTTGCTCAACTGTCCATGTTAATTATAGGTCTATGATAAAACCTAGTTTTGGGTAAATTATGTCTTTGAAACACCCAAGGCCCTCAAAAGACCTAAAACAAATTTGAATCAATCTGAAATATAAAGGGAAACACCAACCAAATAAGCTCTCTAGTGAAGAGTTAGGAGGCACACATACTGTATATCAGACTTTCTCAACCAGGGTTCCCAGGCACCCCGGGGTGCCTTGAGGTTTTTTCAGGGGTACTTTAGCAAAATGTCTAAAAATTGCCCAAAACGTATATACAAGCCAGCGGGCGGAACAAGTCTGCCTTTTAGTTACACAAAGCCACAGGTTTTCATTGTGCACCAGTACGACCTTCTAGCTGCTGACGTCCTGACAACCAATGACATCATCAGTTGATAAGGAGGATGTCAGCTGCCTGCACAGCATCTTAGTTTGAGCCTTCCCTGCCCCTCTCCATCAGTGCTGGGGTCACATTATCTCACTGAGGGAGAAGAGAAACACTGGAATACTACTCAGTATCAGTGTGCAAAAGTGTATTTGCTTTGGAAGAATAAATCATCTTTATTGTTGGGTGTCCTACATGTGTGGATGTTGCTGCATTATATAAAACTATTAGAATAGGTTTTCATATTTTATAGAATGGAGTGCCCTTTTAAAATTATGGCCAGTCTTAAGGCACTTTATTTTAGAATGGCGTGCCTCAAGACTGTCCATAATTTTAAAGGGTGCCTTGATTGAAAAAAGGTTGAGAAACACTGCTGTATATTGAATAAATGGAAATATTAAATTGCAGTCTTGGGGCAGAAGTGGATAAAATCTCCAGTCCCCCAAAGTGCAAAAATATTCCACCACCCCCATACACCAGCAAAGTCATTGGGTAGCTGTAATGTGGTACTAATGGCAATGCCTGCCTCCGATGACTGGACATTTAAAGAGGAATATGAATTTTTATTACTAGGCTTCTCCTGTCAATGGCAGCAAAAGCAGTTCAACCAATGGTAATGACCTGTCAAAGCCGGTCTGCATCCACTCTTGGAATTAGGAATGTGTCAAATGGTATCCCTGCCTCTGTGGACCTCTTTCTTAGATTGTACTCCCCTTGAGGGTTGGTACTGATGTAAAAGTACAATATAGATGTAAAACGCTGCATAAATTGACGGCACGATATAAGTACCTGTAATAAATAAAATAAATAAAAACAAATGGACACTGTCCTAGAATCTAGACAAAGTGCAACTTGTAGAAGAGCTGATCACCTGTTGAACTGCAGTGAACTATGGTATTGATTCTTAGCAATGATATGTCATTTGTACCTAGGAGTACTATTGATACCCCCCAATCTTGGAATTAATTGCTATGCTCAACAAATCAAGCCATGGATATAAAATGGTTGCTTAGAAACACGAGTACGCTGAGAACTCTTGTAGGTCAGATGCCCAGAGACTGACATTCAACAACTCGGCTCCATCACTGAGCTTATTTATATAAGCAGAAGAAGGTCAGATTTCAACTCTTGGCTCTAAAGGCAAGTCCGATCAGCATCAAGATGATCCTAAAAATCTATACAATACAAACATATGTTAAATGCATTTTATTCACTTAATATGTGGAGAACTTTAGCCCACAAATAATCAATCAGTCCAGTAATTTGTTTAATGCAGTAAGGCACATGGCTGACAATATTAGTCTTTCCTTTGGCAGATACACACAGCAGAAAGCGAAGATTTGGAAGCTCAGCGGTTTCCGTTTCTGGCATCTGATTTCCATTTAGCAGGCAGAGTAAATATTTAATGCTGCATGAGCATTACTCGACATCTATTTAATTCAAGAAGTGAAAACTAGACTCACACTACAACCTGTAACACTCTAGACAACATTCAGTTTGTAAGGGAAACATGCCCTTCCCTGATGTGCTATTCATGGAATTCACAAAAACATGCAAAGCATAAAGGCAGCAGTGCTGGAAGACCTGAACATAATGTACAGCAATGAAGATAACTCCATCTAGACCTGCTCATGGAAGTTAGCCACATCTCAGCATCATGTAGTACATTCAATATACTTGAAAATTGTCTTTATTCTGCAAAGCTACTAAAAGGAAGGCTCATGGGTGCACTAAGCCAACTTCATCCAAACAGCTTTTTAGAGCCAGATTATGTGTTATGTGCATTTACAGAACTATGCAGTTAAAGCAGCTGAATCACTGTACACTTGTGTTAAAGTGTTACTAAACCTACAACAGTAAAATCAGTCTGTATATGCAGTAAAGCATGCTTTTTATACTCACTGTGGAACCTAAGGGGTTAATCCTCTGATTTGTGTAAAAATGTTGTTTGACCCTGTCTTCTCTGATCCTCCCCTTCTTCTACTGCCTCCAATCCATCTGCTGATAGTACAGAGCTCTAGGAGTCACATTGCACATGCTCGGTTTAGTGTGTATGGCTAGAGTTTTTATTTTTCTTTGGGAGGGTGCATATGATTTGCACAGGGCCAATCAGCACTGTCCAGACTGACTGTCGGGGGTTGTGCAGCCTCATAGGACAGTCAGAGCAGAATGAAAACTCCTCCTACAAGATTAACCAGTGCTCATCTGGACACTGATAGAAGTCACAAAACTATATACTGCTGATGAAAAAAGGTATTTATCAGTTTATATTTACTAAAATAATTGCATTTTCATGCTCTGTGTACTGTGGGAGAACCGATATAGTGAATGCAAGGTCATAGGTTTAGTAACACTTTAAGGTGCCATTCCAAAGGAATGGCCCTGCAACGCACTAGACAAAGTAGAAGTACATTTTACATCCATTACTCTGTGTATCACTAGACCCTTAGTTTTGGAAAGTGTGGTGGAATTGACAAAACCTCTGTCAACATTTGTGTTTCATAGATTTTTCCTCATCTTTTTATTTCTCATTTTCAGATACAGTACACCATGAAATGAGGGGAAAACATTCAGCATTACAAACCTGTTTTTTTCCTGGTAGGGTAAAGAAGGTTTAGAACCTCTTTTGACTTTTTAACTTCTTTGTTGGGAACTTATTTCTTTACAATTCCTGGCCAGATGACAGATGTCAAACAAAGCAGGTCAATGACAAGAAAGCTTTTCAGTCAGCATTTAAAATATGAAAATAAATGTTACCCTTCCTGATTCCAGTAAAAACAAAGAAAAAAGTTTGAATTTATAAAAGAACAATAAAAAGTCTCTAAGAAATTGGTCATGCTGGAAACCAAAGAAAGGAAGATTGCAGGCATCACAATGAAACTGCAGCAAGACATCAGCTTTATTAAAACATTGGTGTACACAACACAAAACAGTCAACATGTGTCTGCTGTATCTCCTGAAGTCATGAGTAAGGCCATTATGGTGGAAACATGTTGACTGTTTGTGCTGTATGCACTGATATCTTAGAAGAGAAATGTGTTTTGTTTTATATAATCATACTTACCCAAGTGGATGTAGTATCGATCCGATGCTGCATCTGTCCCCCACCGGCTCTAAAGGTGAGAACTCTGAAGAGAGAACGGTGGGTAGATCCTGACTATATGGTCACGATCTTTTCCCAGCCTGGACCGGCTGAGTGAATGCAACCGGCAGCAGACTTTAGCCTGCTGTCAGCTGAAAACAGGTCACAAGAGTGCAGAATGATCCACATGAGAAGTATAAGCTTTAGCTTCTCCTTTAATAAAGCTGATGTTTTGCTGCACTTGACCATGATGACCGGTAATCTTCCTT